TCTTCCCCGTCCCCCCCCCCCCTCCCATTACCGGTTGGCGCTTGAGGTGCAGCAGCGGGTGGGGGAGAAGCGTACGAATCTGGAGTGAACCACTGCGCTCCCCCCAGCACTCCTCCTCCCCTTCCCCTACTCCTCCTCCCCCTCCCCCCCGGCCGGCCCCCCTGTAGCTCGGTCCGGAGGGGTGGAGAGCGGTGCCAAGCCCCTGACCACCAGGTGCTCAGGTGTGTGGGCCTGCGACCAACCGGACGAGCCCGAGCCAGATGAACCCGGCCTAGATACACCTGAACCAGGAACACCTGACCCGGATACACCTCCCTCGCCACCCCTTCCCCCTCTCTGCACTACTGCTGCTCCACCCCCGGCCCAGTGACTACGCCTGCACGGATATTGAAACCCACAAGATAAAATGGGAGCGGGCGGGAAAGGAGGGGGAGAGAGAGGGGGAGAAGAGGGAGTGGGGGTGGGGGGAGGGCAGGTGGGTGGGAACAAGGGTGGCTGTTGTTGCAGCTTCAGCAGGGCGATATATCGATCCCACCCTGAGCTTCTCGTAACCTCCTTTTCACTCCTCACTCATCTCCGCATCAGTCATCTCGCAAGTGCGGTGCATCAGCAGCAGCAGCAGCTTTCAGCAGCACTTATAGTTCACATAACTTGAGCTTCTTCTCACCTCGTCTCCTCATGTACACCTTCGCACGGGCTTCAAAGGCAGCGGCCTCAGCCGCGAGCTGAGCTTCCTTCTCCCTCGCCACTTTGATCGCCTGCTTCACGTTGCCGTTGATGCGCTTTGAGTCCGCCATGTCTCTTAACATCACCTCACACGCGTGCAGGTTGGACTCGCCGAAACGGAGCTGGAAGGTGGGGGTGGCAAAGGAGGCACGTATAAGGGGGGGAGGGGGGTTGAGGGGGAGGAGGAAGGGCGGAGGAAGGGCGGAGGAAGGGCGGAGGAAGGGCGGAGGAAGGGCGGTGGAAGGGCGGTGGAAGGGCGGTGGAAGGGCGGCGGAAGGGCGGCGGAAGGGCGGTGGAAGGGCGGCGGAAGGGCGGCGGAAGGCGGTGGAAGGGCGGTGGAAGGGCGGTGGAAGGGCGGCGGAAGGGCGGTGGAAGGGTGGCAGAAGGGCGGTGGAAGGGGGATGGCAGTCAAGAGGGCCGTTGATGCGCTCGGAGCCGCCATGCCTCGTACCATCACGTTTCGCCCACACTTCAACTAACACTACAACACCCACACACATACCCACCCACACACATACCCACCCACACACATACCCACTCACACACATACCCACCCACACACCACTTGAGGAGCTCCAGTGAGCGCGCATTCCTATCGGTGTCGTACTCAGCGCGCCCAACCATCATCTCTGCCAGCATGCCGTGGTAATCCCCACCAGCACACCTTCAGTAGCGCACGCACACACATCCACCTGGGATGCACCATACACTCACCTTAATCAACTCCAATGTGCGTCCACCACACACTCACCTTAATCAACTCCAATGTGCGTCCACCACACACTCACCTTAATCAACTCCAATGTGCGTCCACCACACACTCACCTTAAGCAACTCCAATGTGCGCAAGTCTCGGTCCGTCTCATATCCCACGCGTCCTATGAGCCGCTCAGCCAGCATGCCGCGATACTCCCCCACCAGCACCTCCCTTTAGTCATAGACCCCAAACAGCACGCCCTTCAATGGCACAACCACGCACCTTCAACAGCTCCAGCGTGCGCAACATCTCGGTCCGTGTCGTATCCAGCACGCCCTATGAGCCGCTCCGCCAGCATGCCGCGGTACTCCCCCACCAGCACCTCCCGGGAACCATACACGCCCGCCAGCACACCTTCAATACCACACACCATATGTGCTTAGAATGCGCCCGTACACACACCATATGTGCTTAGAATGCGCCCGTACACACACCATATGTGCTTAGAATGCACCCGTACACACACCATATGTGCTTAGAATGCGCCCGTACACACACCTTCAGCAGCTCCAGTGTGCGCACGTCGCGGTCCGTGTCATATCCAGCGCGCCCTATGAGCCGCTCCGCCAGCATGCCGCGGTACTCCCCCACCAGCACCTCCCGAGACCCGTACACGCCCACCAGCACGCGCACTATGTCCTTTGAGCGCTGCGACTGGCTGGAGGAACGCCACGGGTCAGCGTCGATAGGGTCAGGCTGCCAGCTGTACACAGAGAGGCACAGGCGGGGTGGACACGGGGAGAGGAGAGGGTTGGACATGCACTTCCCTAGACCCGTACACGCCCACCAGCACGCGCACTATGTCCTTGGACTGCTGGGACTGGGAACCGGAGGAGCGCCAGCGTCGATAGGGTCGGGCTGCCAGCTGGAGGGGGGACAGCTGGAGAGGCGATGAGAATGGGACATTGTAACGGCTGAGCCAAAAGAGAATTGTGACTGCATGATTACGAATGGTGAATTGTGAACAGATAGTTGTTGCATGATTATGAATGGTGAATTGTGAACAGATAGTTGTTGCTCCTTCCATCCAATGAACAACACGGTTACGGTTGAAGTAACAAAGGAGAAAAGAATAACAGAAAGAAGCATCCCATTCTGGCACTAATTTTTCCCCGCCAGTCTCACCGCTCAGCAGCAGCATAAGCCGCAGCCAGATCTTCCCCCAACTCGTGATAATAATCGAGTTTTCAGACGTCTCAACACTCACTTGGCCACTACAACCACCAGTCCCACCACCAGTCCCACCACCAGTCCCACCACCAGTCCCACCACCAGTCTCACCACCAGTCCCACCACCAGTCCCACCACCAGTCTCACCGCTCAGCAGCAGCAAAAGCCGCAGCCAGATCTTCCCCCAGCTCTCCCCCTTCTTCCTCCCCTTCCCCACCCCCCCCGGCCTCCCCCTCCCCCCCCTGCGCCGCCCGGCTCAGCTCCTCCAGCAGCGACAGGTCACCCGGGTCCCCTGCCTCCCCTGCCACGTCATCCGCCACGTCAGCAGCGCCCCTGGTGGCTCCAGCTGGCGCTGCTGAGGGGTGCTGAGTCAGCAGAGTCATGATGCAGCGAATGGTGTCCCTGCGTTTGTGTGTGGGGAAGGAGGGAGGGGGGGGAGATGGAGTGAAGATAGCATGCTCGTACGCTCGGCATGCTTGGGATGCTCAGTATGCTTGCTATGCTCGGTATGCTAACTACAATATGCTTGGTATGCTTGGTTTGCTTGGTTTGCTTGGTATGCTCGGTATGCTCGGTATGCTTGGTATACTCGGAATGCTTGGCATGCTTGGTATGCTTGGTACGCTTGGTGCGCATGGTATGCCCGGTTTACTTTGGTGCCTCCAAGTCACCACCCACCATAAAAGGTCAAGTACACTAGGCGCTCACCTTCCCCGCACGTACTGTTGAATCGGCTCACAAACTGCCTCCAGCACCACCCTTAACGGGTCAACACGCCTCAGAGCCCAGACGGGCATGTTGAGAATATGCTCCTTTCCTTTTTGACGCACCCCTTCTACAATACAGATACGTGTGATGGGCTCTCACCTGCTCCCCCGCAGGTACTGCCTGATGGGGTCACTGACTGCCTCCACCACCACCCCTGAGGGGTCCAACCGCCTCCAGGCGCAGATCACCGACACATCCTGCCTTGTGTAATAAGTCGATTTTTGAGTCGACTAAAAAATCGACTCATTACACACGGATTTGCCGCAGGATGTTTACAGCATGTGTCGGCGATGTCACAGGATGGTAGCCTTTGGTACTGCACAGTGGGCACTCACCTCCTCCCGCGCAAGTACTGCCTGATCGGCTCACTGACTGCCTCCAGCACCACCCCCGATGGGTCAACGCGCCTCAGAGCCCGGATCGCCGACACATACTGCTGCAGGATGTCAGCCGTCGACGCGCCAGCTGTCAGCAGCCGATTGGTCAGCGCCGCCCGGAACGAGGCCACCAGCCTCGCATGCGCGCTCCCATCCCCACCACCGTCCCACCCCAGCCCTGCCCCCCATACTCCCCCTCCCCATTCCCCTCCTCCGACCTTTTGTGTCCCAACCAGAGCAATCAGGGGAGGGGCAGCGGCAGCAAGAGCGGCAGTGCCAGGTCCCGCCACACCAGCACCAGACCAACCGGCAGGGAAGCCAGTGGTGTCGGACTCAAGGCACTCTTTAAGGTCGTCTATAGCCGGGGCGGAGTCGGGGTAGTCAACGATGATGTCAAACAGCTGGCGCGTGCGCAGCTGGCACAGCTCCCTGCACACCACGTGGCGCAGCCAGCCGCTCCACTGACGCAGATGTGTGGCTGGGATCTGATCTTGACGTGCGGCCAGGATGTGATCTGATGCGCGGCTGGTGGCACCCTTGCTGGTACCGCCCCTTGTGGTGACAGTGGAGGTGGTGATAGTAACGAAGGGCAGGGCTGTGATCTGCAGCCAGCGATGCAGGCGGGGGAGGATCCGACGGTCGAAAGCGTCCCCCGCCGATGCATGCACGTGCTCCTTGACCTGGGCCAGCAGCACGGCGCACATCACCGAGTGCGCCACGAACGAGAGACTAGCAAAGCCAAGCGTACGCATCACTCCCTGCACGCACCGCACCCACGCACGCCCCACCCGCTCCTCCAACCGCCCCACCCAACACACAGACGCGCCCACACCCCCCCCTGCGCCAAACGCCCCCCCCTCCTCCAGACCCACGTCCTCGGTCCCATCTCCTCCTAAACCCTCTTTCTCTCCAAACTCTCCCTCCCTAAGCCCCTCCTTGTCTGCGCTCTCCGCGGCTGCTACATCTAAGACTCCATCCAGCACCGCTGCAAGGATCTGCCGCTCCTCCTCGCCTGCCAAGCCCTCCCCCTCCTCCCCTCTGCCTCCCTCTCTTCCCCCACCTCCATCTATTCTCTCTCCCCCAACCCCCACTGCTCGTCCCTGGCTCGACTCAAGCGCCGTCATCTCATCTTCCAGCCTCCTCCGCGTGCCCTTCCCCTGCCCTGACGGCTCTAAACCTCCAAACCCAGGGAAACTTCCCAGTAGGTTCTCAGTCTCCGTGCCAAATGGTGGAGTGGAGCCTGGAAGATGCTCGTACCTCTCTCGACCGGCAGTGGCAGTGCCGGCTGTAGGAGTGACAGATGCTGCTGCTTGATCATTTGAATGTGCCTCCTCCTCCTCCTCTTCCTCCTCTTCTTCCTCCTCCTCCTCTTCCTCCTCCTCCTCCTCCTCTTCCTCCTCTTCCTCTTCTTCCTCCTCTTCCTCTTCTTCTTCCTCGTCTTCATCCTCATCCTCCTTATAGAATGGACGCATGCACTTAGACACCTCCTTGAAGCGAGAGGACAGAAATTCTTGCAACAGCCCTGCGGTGCATGTGCGCGTGCACAGGCACGGATGTCACCGGGTAAGAAAGAGCATATGGACGTGAGCATGTGGGCGTGAACATATGGGCGTGAACATATGGACGTGCAGCACAGATTTGCCATGCAGCTGTGACTGTCTGAGTCAAAACGCTGGACATCTGCAATGTGTGTTGCACGTACTCACCCATCAGGCACCTATGAGCGCAATGCCCCTATGAGCGCAATGCCCCTATGAGCGCAATGCACCTGAGCGCAATGCACCTATGAGCGCAATGCTGGAACCATCATGTACGTAGGATGAATGTACCAGCTTGACTTCGTTCCACTCATCCCTGTGAGTGACACACCATACTGCTACTCGAGCTTACCGTACAGCTGATCCTACAGCTATGCACGCACACTCACCATACAGCTGTGTCGGCGTTGCATTCACCACCATAGCCTGTAAGCTCTCCCGCAAATCTTCAACTGCTGCCACGTCATCACATCCCTCCTCTTCCCACTCTGCCTCTTCTCTCTCTGCCTCCTCCTCCCCGCTCTCCCCCTCCTCTTCCTCCCCCTCAACCTCCTCTCTCCCTACTACCTCACCCCACGGGTCGCCCCACACGTTCCCAATTCCACGCTTGGCGTTGCACCGTGCCACCTCAGCTGCCACGTCAGCAAGCACAAGCGTGAAAGCATACTTCACCGCACAGAGCTCGTTCAGAGCTGCGAGTAACTTCCCGTCAGCTTCCTTCTGCCTGTGTTTCTTACCCTTCCTCTTTGTTTCCCCTCCTGCACTCCCTCCTGCACTCCCTCCTGCTCTCCCTCCTCCTCCTTCTCCACTACTTGCTGCTTCCCCCATTGCTCTCTGAAAGCGGGGCAGAGCGGTTTCCTGGAAGCTCCTCTGTACAAAGCCGTGGCAGAGGGGTAAGGGAGACGGGCGGAATGGGGAAATTCGAAGTAGGAAACAATAGCGTCTTCTCTGAAAGAGTCAGCGAATAGACTCCTCACGCAAATTCGAAGTAGGAAACAATAGCGTCTTCTCTGAAAGAGTCAGCGAATAGGAGGGAACATCCAGAGAACGCTTAGGGAACAATAGGAGCTGAGAAGACATAGCAGCTCAGAGTATCCATGCAGGACGCTTTCGTCAGTAGGCAGCGGCTGACGTAGACAATCTCACCTTCAGGCATCCGCTGACGTAATCAACCGTCAGTGGTCCCATCCCGTGTCTGCACAGCACCCCGAGATCCTTCCGCCTCGCGCCAGTCCGCCAGAATCGCACGCGCCTGCGCCTCCGCCCTTCCGCGCTCCACGCGAATCCTCCGCTTCTGTTCTCGTTCTCGCTGCTTCCTTCGCCTTCGGTGTTGCTGTAGGCTCCGCTGCTGATCCGACCGTTGATCCCCTCGATCAAGGCGTTCAACGAGTGGTCCAGATTCCACCATGACGTCGTGATGGCATGGGTAGCGGAAGGATCGAGTCCTAGAGCGGGGTAACCAGATTGAAAAAACGCCATTTCGTCAACTGACCCCGAGCGCGTTTGGCGTTGACGAATACTAAAGAACCTACGCGAAGCTCAATGTCGCCTCATCCACGGAATACCAGCTCTGTAGCAAATGTAAATACGGGAACTAACCCGAACAAATTTGTGTTGGCGCAAGATGCCGCATCCTCATCAGGGGATGACTCAATAACCTCGTATGAAGGAGCTGTTGCCATCCATGGCCGTCTTTCAGAAAGTGCAAGTCAGGTATGGTCTTTCCTGTTACTTCACCCAGATTCACTTTCTGACAGATTGCATGTAAGGGCGGGGTTAGGGCCTGGCACCATGGGGTATAGAAGGGAGATCGCTCGAAAATACCGGTCCAAGTGGATCGTTTGGCGAGCTGGTCCCTCCACCTCGGTGTCGTCCGTGAGGTCCAGTTGTGCCAAAACAGGAATCGACGATTTTTCTGAATTTTGTTTTTCCGGGACGCAAAAGAAGCCTCGCCCACCAATTTCTACGGAAAATTGGGCGTCTGCAAAAGCGATACGAACAGGCGCCAACTTGGCAACCACTCGTGGAGCAATCAGCTTTCGTCCACCAGTCAAAAACACATTTCCCCATTTTCGTAATTTGGCGATAAGGGCAAAAGTGCGATCAAATTCCCGGGCAACTTATTTTACTTTTTTGCTGGAACGAGAATATGATGGATTGAGGATCATCCCGATGTGATGGGTCGGTCCCTGGCGGTTCTGAAACTCTCGCATTTGGCACACCTCGCATTTATCATATGTAACAAAGCGCGCACCGGGTAACTGATGAGTGTAGAGAGAGGATCAGTTGCGAACGATTCGACAGACGCACCAAATGATCCACGCCCTCAGACTGAGCCATTCATGATTGCGGCAAAACGAGAATGTCAGGCACATTCGCGACTGTCGTCCAAGAATAGTAACCATCTTTACGAAGAAAAATGCCTCAGGCGACATCACAGTTGCTGCGAGTGGGTGGGGGGAACTCTGTACAGTGGTCGTCAACCTGACGCTACGAAATATCGGAACGAGCTTCTGCTCGAAACGAGGCATTTAGTAGCGGGTCATAATTCAAGCATCCAAACTAAACACCCACAAAAAGCCTCGAGATTTGAGCTTCAATTCAATTCAAACATCCCTCAATCCGAAAGCTTCGGAGCTTCGCGTCTGAAGGGAATAGGGAATGCCGAGAGCCATCACAAGTTCACAACCCCGATATTGTCGAGCACCGAGATTCCCGCGCTCGCAGACCCGTGCAGCAGCCGAGTTTCCCGCTCTCCGTGACCATTCCAGGTCCCCTGTCGCCCATCATTCTTGTCCCCTCGCTCAGCAGGCTCTGGTATATATCTCACGGTTGCACCTACGCAACAGGCATTTCATTCGTGCTGTCAAATTCTTAGAACAGCCCAAGCACTCCTCACGCTTTTTAGGAGCGACCCTCCTGCACTTTCCATCGTGAAGCCGAGCCTTGGGATTCACGTTACTTGGGGACGCGTCGTCGTAGTCTCAGCGCACTGCTTTTGTTGAGTCGACTCAAGAGCAGCGCACCAGCTTCGCTTTTTGTTTCTGAGCTTCGCACGAAGGTTCACCTGGATACACATATTACAGATAGTATCTAGACGTCGCAAAAGAACGAAGAGTCCAGTCTAGCGTTACCTCGAACACAGCAAGCCTCTCATCGAGCCGGCTGCGGCTGAAATCTTCGTTTAACGTCTTCGTTTCTAAGGGTTCCAGATGGCCGCGTGCCTCCAGCCGTTCGATCTAACGGATTTTCTGCAGCTAAAAGGCGGAAACGCAGCAGGGGATACGGCAGTGGCGGGTGCCGCTCCGCTCCCCGCGTCCGTGGCGGAAACCTGCCGCGCGATGGCGGAGTGTTTGCGCGCAACCAGCGCGCTAATCGTGCACGACCCGCGGTGCGCGCAGGCGGACAACGACCGGTTTTTAGACATGATGGAGAAATACTTCGAGCAGCCCAAGGCGACGAAGATCGCGCACTCGCGCCCCGAGTTGCACTATCAGGTAAGGCTGGTTTGGCCAAGCATGTGCATGTGCATGTGCATGAGCCCAAGCATGTGCTCGTGCGAGCAGGCGGACAATGACCGGTTTCTGGACATGATGGAGAAATACTTCGAGTAGCCCAAGGCGACGAAACTCGCACACTCGCGGCCGGAACTGCACTATCATGTACGATGTCTTAAATCCCTGAGAGGTTCCTTTCACTCGGGGGCCTAATGGGTCACCAACTCTTCTCCTGTAAGAGGTTGTCCATTACCCCCATTCTTTCCCCGGGCTCTCCGCGCCTTACTTCCCGCGTGCCTCCCGCGTGCCTCCCGCGTCCGCGCCTCCTCCCCGCGCCCTGCGCCTTCCGCGCTGCAGGTGGGAGTGACCCCCGAGGGCGTGGAGATGCCGCAGAGCGCGCTGGACGACGCGGTGAGGGCGCGCATGGCGCAACTCCCCGCGGACAGCCGCCCCCAGGCGCCCTCGGGCCCCGACTGCAAGTGGCGCTTCATGTGGCGCGTGGGGCCGCGCCCCGCCGCTACCAGATACCAGGTCAGACTGCAGCACCTATCTCCCTGCTTCGCCGTCTTGCCAAATTAGCTGCTTCCTCCGCTGCTTTCACTCATTCAGATGCCTGCTTACGATGCAATGTGCGGAGTCTGATGACCTATTCGTGATGCGCCTATACCAGGAGCTGAACGCCAGTCCAGTTGTGCCGGAGGGGTTCCCGCAGTGGTCGTCGGTGATGGACGGGTGGGGATGCAAGATGCTGGCTGCAGTGGAGGTGAGGGGAAGGGGCAACGGTGAGAGTGGAGGGCAGGGGGGAGAGAATGGAGGGAAGAGGGGCTGGAAGGAGCAGAAGTGCGCTGGATTCTGCGCTGATTTTTGAAGGCGCTGTGTGTGGTGATTGGCTTGATGCTGGATTGGTCGAAACAAATCTGACATGAAGCCTCCACATGCTGACGTGGGATGTGTGGCAGGCGGTGGCTGAGATGTTGGCAATCGGCTTTGACCTCCCACCGGACTCCTTCACCTCTCGCATGCACATGGTATGGAAGCACTCCCCTCCCCCATACCAGCTTCGCTCTGTCCATCCCATCAGTCCGCAAGCATCCTTCCCTGCTGCTTTCGCTTTGACCTCCCACCGGACTCCTTCACCTCTCGCATCCCCATGGTATGGTATGGAAGCACTCCCCTCCCCCATACCAGCTTACCTTTCTCCATCCCATCAGTCTGCAAACTTCCTTGCCCTGCTGCTTTTGCAGCCTGGACTTGTGTGTCTCAGCCTTCCGCTGTTCCAGCTTTCCCTTTCGCTGGCATGTCTCACCCGTTCCTGTGCCCACAGCCCCATTGCCAACCCAGGGCCCACACCTGCTGGCCCCCACGGGCAGTGACCTGAGAGAGCACATAGGTGATCTTTTAGTTAACTCAATACTCCTCCCCCCACTGCCCACCTCCCCATCGCCACTCCAGGGCCCGCACCTGCTGGCTCCCACAGGCAGTGACCTGAGAGAGCACGGCTCCACTGGGACGGTCCTGGCGGGTTACCACGCAGACCTCAATTTCCTCACCATTCACGGACGGTGCAGATTCCCTGGCCTCCGCATCTGGCTGCGGGATGGGACCTGCTGCCGAGTCTCAGTGCCGGATGGCTGCCTGCTCCTGCAAGCGGGAAAGGAGGTTAGAAGGGTTCACAATTTTTTTTTATCTTTTTGTTTCCTCATCATTTTGGTGATGAATTGTGCCGGCGCATGGTCATTAGTGGCTGACGTGGGAAGCTGTGAAGCTTTCTTGACGTGGCATTGCTTGATGTCCATCTTGGCAGATGGAGTGGCTGACGGGAGGCGAGGTGGCAGCAGGCATGCACGAGGTGGTGGTGGATGATGGCACAGTGGCGGCAGTGCAACGAGCGCAACAACAGGGGCGCAGCCTCTGGCGGGTCTCCAGCACGGTATGCTGCAGAGGATGACCCAGTCAACCATGATTTTATTTGAAGAATTGACGGGTGACAGTTGTATAATCATGCACTCATGTTGAGCTGTGATCTGTTTTGTCCTTGCAGGTGTTTGCACACATAGCTTCAGACGAGGTACTCATGCCAATTGGTCACTTCGCAACCAGCATGTTGGCACCTAGTTTCCCACCTAAGCCTGCGGGGGAGTTCGTGGAGGAAGAGCTGGCAGCTATTCAGCTGAAATCAGCCAGTGGTGGTGGTTGATATGAGAAACAAAAAGATAGCTTACTGTTGGCACCAGAGGTTATCGTTGGTCTGCCCTTCCCTCTGTATACTGCTCTTCATTTGTACATCAGTTTGTTATTAGCCATTGCCCGGCAATCTGGCACAAGCCACTAGTGGCTAGGGTCGAACTAAGATTCACACTATATCTAGCCACGTGAACTGCAACATAACAGGAATGTGTCAGCCACCTCATGATGTACTGCCGTGTAAAAGTAAGGAAAGAACCAAGTCTCTCAAAGAGCGTTGACAAACTCTCCACTGCCCTCAAAGTCATCCATGTCATTGTCCATGTCCTCGTCATCTCTCTCGTCATCCCTGTCATCGTTGAGGTAACCATCTCCAGAAGGCTGAGCAATGCCGGGAACCCGAGCTTCCTGCAAGATCCTCATGATCTCTTCAATGCTTTGAGGCGGGTGGTTTGGATCATCGTACTGGTAGCCCGGGTCATTTTCATGCATCAAATCTGCTGGCAGGTTCCGCAAGAACCATGGGTGCCTCTTGATCTCCGGCATTGTGATGCGCTGCAGACAAGGGTGGATCCAGGATGGTGAAAGTGAGAAATGGAAGCAAACAACAACAACAAGCTTATTTCCCATCAGACCATCTGCACTTACCTTCGTGGGGTTAGCTGTGAAAATTCTCGACAGGAGATGCTTGCACTCCGGAGACAGGCGCACATACGGTGGAACGTGATACTGGACACTCATGATGCGCTGTAAACAAGGCAAGGCAGAAAAGTATGTGAATGCTGTAGGGATTGCGAAAGAAAAGCACAGCAGCAGAGAAGAAATGTGACGTACACCAATGGTTTTCCGGAAGTTCCTAGGGTCATCAGGGTCCTCGAACGGGTAAGCCCCTACTAGCATGACGTATAGTGTGACTCCACAAGACCACACGTCAGCAGTCTGTCACATGGAAAAAACTTTGGATTAGATGAGGAAAGAGTCAATACGTGATGTTCTTGCAAAAATATAGTACAGAGCACATTACCTTTCCATCGTATTCCTTCTTGGACAGTACTTCGGGTGCAATGTAAGCTGGAGTGCCGACGGTGGATTTTGGTTGTGAATGCAGCAACGAGGACTGGAAAGGTAAAACGGGAACATCTTAGTGCGGGAAACGACGCCACATCTCTAGCCCCGACATTTGACACGATACCTTCGAGTAACCAAAATCGCAAATCTTCAGACGAGGTGCGGGACTTCCATCCAGAAGGGTGTTTTCAAGCTTCAGATCGCGATGGCAGATTTGCTGCGAAAACGGAGGGCGTCAAATATTAATATGCTATCATCGAAGGGTCAATCGCCTAGACGACATGAGCTATTCTTACCATAGAGTGACAGTAGCTGATGCCGGCGACCAATTGTTGAAAGAAAAATCGGGCCTGGAAGACGAAACCGAAAGCGTTAATACCCAAACACGCCATTCAGAAAACCGCCATTTCTGACAGAAATGTGCGCACTAAGTACCTCATCTTCGCTGAATCGACCGGCGTTACAGATTCGCTCGAACAGTTCACCGCCAGCCGCGTACTCCATTATAATGGCCAAATGCTGAGGAGTAAGGCACACCTGAAAGCACAAGCGAGGAAAAAGCTTCCAAGGTCAAACTGAGCAACCCACAAGAGAAGCTCAAGCAGCCGAGGATCAGAGGAGCGGTGAGCAACTCACCTCGCGGAATCGGATGATGTTAGGGTGCCTTAAGGAACGATGGTTAATGATTTCACGCTGAACATTCTCGTCGATCTGCAGACATCAAACAACTCTCTTGGGAGAATCAAACCAAGACTCAACAACCGAATAAGCCACTACTAGCTCTGTCCTGGGGAAAATGGATGCAACAGATATGCACGTGCCTTGTCGCCACGCTCGATGAACTTCACCGCAACCATCTCCTTCGTTCTCTTATCTCGCATTAACTTCGCAATCCCGAAATTTCCCGAACCGATATCTTTGAGGATTTCATATCGCTCCATAGCTCTGACACGGAAAAGAAAAGAGAGCTCCTCCAATCACCAGGCCTAACAAAATATCGGCCTGTGCTACCTACAGAACACACTAACACAAGCCTGCACCACAATCGGACAACCCTAGAACCTTGTTAGAACAGCCTCATAGCACCATGCTAGGTTCCGAGGCTAGAGAGCAGCAAAGATCCCGTTGGAGGGCTGGGAGAAAGTGGGGAGGTGGGTGGTTGCTGCAAGCAGTGGAGTGGGTTTGAGGGAAGAGGAGGGAACCGAGCAGAGCAACCCAACCAACCTAGCCAAGAACGGGGTAAGGTGACGGAAAACGTTAGGGACAATGCGCTCGTCACCACGAGCTCCGTTAGAAAGAACGCGGAAAGAATCAAATCGTTAGCCCTACCACCCGACCCTTCTGGATTCCCAGCTGAATAGCGAAACAAAGCTGCATGGAGCGCGGCACTTAGATTTGTTCACTTGTTGATACAAAAGGAAACTATTACACAACAAAACATCAAACTCTACTTATCTACAACATCTATTTACACATTGTGCCAACCTGTGGCAACAATAATTTGGGGCCAAGAATATTCTCAGGCCCCTCTAAATCAATCTAAGCCATGAAATTGATGCGCCGGTCTGCAGCGGACTCCCACAACCACTTGGTAAGGAAAAGGGCAAGATTTTAGCTCAACCTGATGGTTGTTTTCCAGGTGTAGGCCTTTTGAGCCAACGAGCTCTGAAACCAGTACCGGCACAGTCAAGGCAACGGACAGTACCCTGCAGTGTGCCACACAAAACACAAAATGAAGGAGCATTATTTCCCCATGAATTTTATATGGAAATGCGAGGAACCAAAAGGGCATCCATGCCTAGTCTCGAGGACCTTTCTATCCATATTCTCTCCTCCAGAAAAATCCCACCTTGCCTCCGCAGATAACACATGTGTTGCTCCGTGAAGATACAGAGCACAGCATGTTGTCTCCCACAATGAAGTAGCCCGTCCCACGGCACCAGTTGCACTCAATACAGCCCTGCGCCATGCACTCCTCGCATGCCACAGGGCCCTGGTTCTGCTCAACGGGAGAGGCGAGAAATCAAGGAGAGCCAAGAAGGTCATCCAGATGCAACGCTTCAGTCAGAACGGAAGGGGTACTGGAGCTACAAGGAGCTGAAAGTGGAAGCAGAGGTACTGGAGGAGGAAAAGGTGGCATATGGAAGAGAAGGCGTGAAAAGGCACCTTTCGTATGCTCCAGGCTTGCTCGAGTCTTGCCGCGAATTCCTTGGACCGGTCAGACTCGTCGGATCGTGCGAAACTCCACTCGTCCGACGAGTCGTCCGACGAGGCGTAACATCTTCCTGACCTCCGAATCCGCTCGCCCTGATCCACACAAAAGTAGTCACAAACCAAGGTACACGAGAACCGTCAAGACTAGTGGGTTGTAGATGGAACAGGAAAGACATTGACTTGGCTGGGGTGAACGTGAAGCACGCTAACCAACAGAGGGAGCCGGAGTTGTTTACATGCCTTTCTATAACGCTTAGCGAGCGGTAACAGTACTACTTCCGTCTGTCGCATCCCTCGCGCCGTCCTCAGAAAGCCGAGAGCAGGAGATCGTGGATCCCAGCGAATCTGGCAGCAAGCCATGACAATTAGCGTCAGGCCGCAACTGCAATGTCAGAGCTGGCAGAGCGTCACAAAGCGGCTCTGGAGAGGAGTATTGGACGAGATAAAACCATGCGAAGAGACGACTAAAGACGAGGCGATGCCGCTGACTAGACTTAAACAAGAGACGACGCACTGCTGACAACTATCTAGCCCGCTGGAGTGGGGTGTTCATTTTCCACATCCCCGTCACGTGGCGGAGAGTGGCGCGAAGAAATATCTGTCCTCGTTACAATTTTCTTTCATATTAACTTACACATTTGGAACAAAACGCAACTAAGAGGGGCATTGCCATTTAAGTCACTGATCCCATGGACAAAGATTTCAGTAATGAAAAAAGGGGCACTGACGTCCTAAATGGATGATACGAAACACCACGGAGGAGAGGGGGGCCTAAGGATCATGTACTAGCATAAGCTTGCTGAGAAAAAAACAAGATAACTAGCTTGGGAAAGGGGTACTGCACTATGCGGACAACACCTTCACCATATGAGTCTCCTTCAAATAGTGAACTCCCGCATGAATCTACCATGGAACTCCGCAAACCGCTCCATCATCCCCGAGATTTTATCCTCGGGCGGCAAAATCGTAAACCGCACGTGCCACGTCCCTGGCTCTTGCCCGAAACCTGACCCTGGGACCACGACAATCCCTGTGGCATCCAGCAACCGGCGGGCGTAGAAGGTGTCTGCTGGCATGCCCACTGCTGCTGCTGCTTCCACTGCTCGTGGGGGGAGGTGCAGTCTGGGGAAGGCGTACATGGCCCCCTCGGAGGGATTGCAGGTGATGCCTTCGAGGGAGTTAAGCACATCAACGAGCAGCTGAAAGGGTGGGTTGGAGAGAGAGAATGGTTGCACGAACACAGAAAGGGATGTGCAACCTTAAGGCAGGCGTACCTGACACGTTCAGGGTAAAAAAAGGGAAATGCCCTTTCAAGATACCAGTAGTTGAAATGCGAAAGGCTAAGTCATGGAGTGAGGGGCAGACCTTGGCACGACGGGCGAGTGAGGAGAGGATGGCATCTCTCTCAGCAGTGAAGACAGGGAATGCATCGTCCCCTTCCTGCATACATGCACAGTCACACACATGCACAGTCACACACATGCACAAACAATTGTACAGCCCCCCTCCCTCCCACACACACACTCCCCACACACAAGCACATGCACGCGCAAGCTCCATCAATTAGACGAAGAGAAAGTAAGTCAGGGATGCCTGAGAAGCAGACAGCGTAACAAGACCCGAGATAGTGAGCTAGTATTCACCTGGGGCGGCATGGCAATGAGCGCCATGAGTATCTGCCCTGGCACGTTGGAGCAAAGGTTCACCGACGCCACCTTGTACATGGCCTCCCGCACTTCAGACGGCAAACCTGCAGTGGGGCAGGGGGGTGGATGGGGGGGCTTATGACGGCAGGTCTGCATGCGAGTCAAGGCACGTTGGAGCAGAGGTTCACAGACACCACCTTGTACACAGCCTCCCGCACTTCAGCTGGCAGGCCTGCATGAGGGAATAAATGGGGTTGCTTTGGTCAGCCAAGGACACATTGCAGCAGAGTGTTATGGCACCAGAGGAGCAGAGGTTCACTGACGCCACCTTGTACATGGCCTTTCGCACTTCAGACAGCAGACCTGAGAGAAGTGAAGGTTGAACACCGTGCACATGGACATGTTCCAGCCTGGATTCGGTTGAAGTTAGGTTTTTGAGAATTATAAAAAACGAGGGAGTTGTAAGCTAGGTGTGTTAGGTTCTTGAAAATTCTCAGAAACCTAACACAGCCTCTCGCACTTCGACAGCAGACCTGAGAGAAGTGAAGGTTGAACACCTTGTACATGGACACATTCCAGCCTGGATTCGGTTGAAGAGCAGTGGCTTAGGAAAGTGTGGTACGAGCGAGCTATCCAAAAGTTGGTTCCAACTGCCACTAGTAACAAAACACTAGTTACCAAACGACACATCAGCTCACCACAGAATGCCCCGGCTACCTGTTACCTCCATGTAGCCGCCTCTCCTGCCACACTCGCCATAGGTGACTTTTGAGTCGACTCAAAAGTCACCTCAAAAGTCACCTCAAAAGTCACCTCAAAAGTCAGCTCACCACAGAATGCCCCGATTACCTGTTACCTCCATGTAGCCGCCTCTCCTGCCACACTCGCCATAGAAACCTGGAGAGACAGCAGAAAGTGCAAGCACGCAGCACACAGGTGAACCAAGGTTCTTTAGCCATGATGCAGACCAACTGTGCTCAATCACCTCTTGAAGCAGTGAAACAACATGATGGCTACAATTGGTCTGGCAAATACCTCTAGGCCAAACATAAGAACAAGCAGCAGTGCCACTAGGTGTTAGGTTTCCCATCAAAGGAAAAAGCCGAAAAGTCTTGTAGCTAACCTTTGGAGGAGGAGTGGCAGGAGATGAGAGCGAGGTCGCTGGCAGTGACGCCCATGTCCCGCGCAACCTTCTTAAACGACAGGAACTTGCGGTCGGGCGCATACACGTTCTCCTGGTACACTTCATCCGCGATAAGAACCAATCCCTTGTCAACGCAGAAGCGCACTATGGCCTGCTGATCCGCTTCCTCCAGGACCTGCAGGGGATGAGAAAAATACTTGTGAGATCAGCATGAGTGCGTGAGATCAGCATGAATGCGTGAGATCAGCATGAATGCGTGAGATCAGCATGAATGCGTGAGATCAGCATGAATGCGTGAGATCAGCATGAATGCGTGAGATCAGCATGAATGCGTGAGATCAGCATGAATGCGTGAGATCAGAATGAATGCGTGAGATCAGCATGAATGCGTGAGATCAGCATGAATGCGTGAGATCAGCATGAATGCGTGAGATCAGCATGAATGCGTGAGATCAGCATGAATGCGTGAGATCAGCATGAATGCGTGAGATCAGCATGAATGCGTGAGATCAGCATGAATGCGTGAGATCAGCATGAATGCGTGAGATCAGCATGAATGCGTGAGATCAGCATGAATGCGTGAGATCAGCATGAATGCGTGAGATCAGCATGAATGCGTGAGATCAGCATGAATGCGTGAGATCGGCATGAATGCGTGAGATCAGCATGAATGCGTGAGATCAGCATGAATGCGTGAGATCAGCATGAATGCGTGAGATCGGCATGAATGCGTGAGATCGGCATGAATGCGTGAGATCGGCATGAATGCGTGAGATCGGCATGAATGCGTGAGATCGGCATGAATGCGTGAGATCGGCATGAATGCGTGAGATCGGCATGAATGCGTGAGATCGGCATGAATGCGTGAGATCGGCATGAATGCGTGAGATCGGCATGAATGCGTGAGATCGGCATGAATGCGTGATGAATGCGTGAGATCGGCATGAATGCGTGAGATCGGCATGAATGCGTGAGATCGGCATGAATGCGTGAGATCGGCATGAATGCGTGAGATCGCATGAATGCGTGAGATCGGCATGAATGCGTGAGATCGGCATGAATGCGTGAGATCGGCATGAATGCGTGAGATCGGCATGAATGCGTGAGATCGCATGAATGCGTGAGATCGGCATGAATGCGTGAGATCGGCATGAATGCGTGAGATCGGCATGAATGCGTGAGATCGGCATGAATGCGTGAGATCGGCATGAATGCGTGAGATCGGCATGAATGCGTGAGATCGGCATGAATGCGTGAGATCGGCATGAATGCGTGAGATCGGCATGAATGCGTGAGATCGGCATGAATGCGTGAGATCGGCATGAATGCGTGAGATCGGCATGAATGCGTGAGATCGGCATGAATGCGTGAGATCGGCATGAATGCGTGAGATCGGCATGAATGCGTGAGTTCGGCATGAATGCGTGAGATCGGCATGAATGCGTGAGATCGGCATGAATGCGTGAGATCGGCATGAATGCGTGAGATCGGCATGAATGCGTGAGATCGGCATGAATGCGTGAGATCGGCATGAATGCGTGAGATCGGCATGAATGCGTGAGATCGGCATGAATGCGTGAGATCGGCATGAATGCGTGAGATCGGCATGAATGCGTGAGATCGGCATGAATGCGTGAGATCGGCATGAATGCGTGAGATCGGCATGAATGCGTGAGATCGGCATGAATGCGTGAGATCGGCATGAATGCGTGAGATCGGCATGAATGCGTGAGATCGGCATGAATGCGTGAGATCGGCATGAATGCGTGAGATCGGCATGAATGCGTGAGATCGGCATGAATGCGTGAGATCGGCATGAATGCGTGAGATCGGCATGAATGCGTGAGATCGGCATGAATGCGTGAGATCAGCATGAATGCGTGAGATCGGCATGAATGCGTGAGATCGGCATGAATGCGTGAGATCAGCATGAATGCGTGAGATCGCATGAATGCGTGAGATCGGCATGAATGCGTGAGATCGGCATGAATGCGTGAGATCGGCATGAATGCGTGAGATCGGCATGAATGCGTGAGATCGGCATGAATGCGTGAGATCGGCATGAATGCGTGAGATCGGCATGAATGCGTGAGATCGGCATGAATGCGTGAGATCGGCATGAATGCGTGAGATCGGCATGAATGCGTGAGATCCGCATGAATGCGTGAGATCGGCATGAATGCGTGAGATCGGCATGAATGCGTGAGATCGGCATGAATGCGTGAGATCGGCATGAATGCGTGAGATCAGCATGAATGCGTGAGATCAGCATGAATGCGTGAGATCAGCATGAATGCGTGAGATCAGCATGAATGCGTGAGATCGGCATGAATGCGTGAGATCGGCATGAATGCGTGAGATCGGCATGAATGCGTGAGATCGGCATGAATGCGTGAGATCGGCATGAATGCGTGAGATCGGCATGAATGCGTGAGATCGGCATGAATGCGTGAGATCGGCATGAATGCGTGAGTTCGGCATGAATGCGTGAGATCGGCATGAATGCGTGAGATCGGCATGAATGCGTGAGATCAGCATGAATGCGTGAGATCGGCATGAATGCGTGAGATCGGCATGAATGCGTGAGATCGGCATGAATGCGTGAGATCAGCATGAATGCGTGAGATCGGCATGAATGCGTGAGATCGGCATGAATGCGTGAGATCAGCATGAATGCGTGAGATCAGCATGAATGCGTGAGATCAGCATGAATGCGTGAGATCGGCATGAATGCGTGAGATCGGCATGAATGCGTGAGATCGGCATGAATGCGTGAGATCGGCATGAATGCGTGAGATCGGCATGAATGCGTGAGATCGGCATGAATGCGTGAGATCGGCATGAATGCGTGAGATCGGCATGAATGCGTGAGATCGGCATGAATGCGTGAGTTCGGCATGAATGCGTGAGATCGGCATGAATGCGTGAGATCGGCATGAATGCGTGAGATCAGCATGAATGCGTGAGATCGGCATGAATGCGTGAGATCGGCATGAATGCGTGAGATCGGCATGAATGCGTGAGATCGCATGAATGCGTGAGATCGGCATGAATGCGTGAGATCCGGCATGAATGCGTGAGATCGGCATGAATGCGTGAGATCGGCATGAATGGGGAGATGCGTGAGATCGGCATGAATGCGGTGGCATGAATCCGGCATGAATGCGTGAGATCGGCATGAATGCGTGAGATCGGCATGAATGCGTGAGATCGGCATGAATGCGTGAGATCGGCATGAATGCGTGAGATCGGCATGAATGCGTGAGATCGGCATGAATGGGGGAGATCGGCATGAATGCGTGGATGGATGCGGGGCATGAATGCGTGAGATCGGCATGAATGCGTGAGATCGGCATGAATGCGTGAGATCGGCATGAATGCGTGAGATCGGCATGAATGCGTGAGATCGGCATGAATGCGTGAGATCGGCATGAATGCGTGAGATCGGCATGAATGCGTGAGATCGGCATGAATGCGTGGAGGGGGGGGGGGGGGGGGGGGGGGGGGGGGGGGGGGGAGATCGGCATGAATGCGTGAGATCGGCATGAATGCGTGAGATCAGCATGAATGCGTGAGATCAGCATGAATGCGTGAGATCGGCATGAATGCGTGAGATCGGCATGAATGCGTGAGATCGCATGAATGCGTGAGAAGAATGCGTGGATCGCATGAATGCGTGAGATCGCATGAATGCGTGAGATCGGCATGAATGCGTGAGATCGGGCATGGAATGCGTGAGATCCAGAATCGTGAATCGCATGAATGCGTGAGATCGGCATGAATGCGTGAGATCGCATGAATGCGTGAGATCGGCATGAATGCGTGAGATCGGATGCGTGAGATCATGAATGCGTGAGATCGGCATGAATGCGTGAGATCGGCATGAATGCGTGAGATCGGCATGAATGCGTGAGATCGGCATGAATGCGTGAGATCGGCATGAATGCGTGAGATCGGCATGAATGCGTGAGATCGGCATGAATGCGTGAGATCCAGATCGAGTGCATGAATGCGTGAGATCGGCATGAATGCGTGAGATCGGCATGAATGCGTGAGATCGGCATGAATGCGTGAGATCCGGCATGAATGCGTGAGATCGCATGAATGCGTGAGATCGGCATGAATGCGTGAGATCGGCATGAATGGTGAGATCGGCATGAATGCGAGATCGGCATGAATGCGTGAGATCGGCATGAATGCGTGAGATCGGCATGAATGCGTGAGATCGGCATGAATGCGTGAGATCAGCATGAATGCGTGAGATCAGCATGAATGCGTGAGATCAGCATGAATGCGTGAGATCAGGCATGAATGCGTGAGATCCAGGCATGAATGCGTGAGATCAGCATGAATGCGTGAGATCAGGCATGAATGCGTGAGATCAGCATGAATGCGTGAGATCAGCATGAATGCGTGAGATCAGCATGAATGCGTGAGATCAGCATGAATGCGTGAGATCGGCATGAATGCGTGAGATCGGCATGAATGCGTGAGATCGGCATGAATGCGTGAGATCGGCATGAATGCGTGAGATCGGCATGAATGCGTGAGATCGGCATGAATGCGTGAGATCGGCATGAATGCGTGAGATCGGCATGAATGCGTGAGATCGGCATGAATGCGTGAGATCGGCATGAATGCGTGAGATCGGCATGAATGCGTGAGATCGGCATGAATGCGTGAGATCGGCATGAATGCGTGAGATCGGCATGAATGCGTGAGATCGGCATGAATGCGTGAGATCGGCATGAATGGAGATCGGATGATGCGTGAGATCGGCATGAATGCGTGAAGATCGGGCATGAATGCGTGAGATCGGCATGAATGCGTGAGATCGCATGAATGCGTGAGATCGGCATGAATGCGTGAGATCGGCATGAATGCGTGAGATCCAGCATGAATGCATGAGATCGGCATGAAATGCGTGAGATCAGCATGAATGCGTGAGATCAGCATGAATGCGTGAGATCAGCATGAATGCGTGAGATCAGAATGAGTGCGTGAGCACGAGCGCGTGTAGGCATGCACAGCACGTGCCTGTAGGCCTGTCCTTTGGAGGTTTTGGAGGTGCCTCAAAAGCCTCTCTGCTTTTTCTTACCTGGCCGGTGGGGTTGCCTGGGGTGATCACGCATGACGCCCGCACACACACGCCCTCCTCCCCTGCTTTCTCAACCACTCGCTGCAAGCCTTCCGAATCCAGGCTCCACCCCGGCCCTCGACGACGTAGCAGGACACGAGATTTCTGCCACTGAGATCTAGGTGACTTTTGAGTCGACTCAAAAGTCACCTTGAGATCTAGAGAAGGAGCCTGAAAGCTCACCTGCCCGGTGGGGTTGCCTGGGTTGATCACACACAGCGCCCGCACACACACGCCCTCCTCCCCTGCCTTCTCAACCACTCTCTGCAGATCCGCAGGGTTCAGCCTCCACCTCGCCCCTCGTCCAGATAGTAGGGCACGAGTGTGGCGCCGTTGAGTGCTAGCGAGGCAGAGTAGAGGGGATACTGCGGGATGGGACAGAGCACGCCATCCTCCTTGCTGCGCACGAGAAGCTTGAGAACCATTTGCACCTGGTCGTGAGACGGGGGGGGAGAGGGGAGGGAGGAGGGGGGGAGAAGATGGGAGGCGGGACGAGAGAAGGAGTGGTGGTGTTGGCATAAAAATGGGAATGAGAGAGGGAGGGGAGAAAGGCGGGAGACGGCAGGAGAGAAGAGAGGATGGAGAAAGGATGCAACAGGGGAGGGGGATGGAGCAGGATAGCACTAACAGAAGAAATTACACAGCACCACCTGCAGCATGACTGGCCCCATACGTGAAGAAAAAACCATCAGCAAAGGCAGCATGGCCATCCCTTCTCGCAATGCAATCCCCCCAAGACAATCTAGCAACACTGTACAGACCACAATGCGACTGGTCCCATAAAAAACACCCAGACAACAGCACCCCGATACATACAGCAGGGCTGGCCCCAACAGTGAGGAAGATGTCGTCCGCAGAGGCAGCATGGCCGCCCCTCCTCGCCACTACACACGTCAATCCAGCAACACAGTTCAAAACAGCATCCCCAGTGCAAAGCACCACAAAGAACCACCTACAGCTGGGCTGGCCCCATCAGTGAGGAAGATGTCATCCGCAGAGGCAGCATGGCCGTCCCTCCTCGCAATCCCCTCCGCCACGAGCTGCCGGCACAGCAGCAGCCCCTGGCTGTGGCTGTAGGCGCCCGTGGCAGAGAACGGAATCGAATCCAGAATCTGCTTGGCTCGGTGCAGAGCCGTGGAGCTGAAGGGGGAACTGCCGTCAGGGTTCTTGAGGTCCATGAGAGCGGGGTGGTCGCAGAGAGAGAGCACCTGTTTGGTTTTGTGATAGCATGGAGGGGAGGAGAGGCTTGAAGGCATGAGTGGGCAGGAGTGAGGGAGTGAGGGCTCTTCGCAATCCGTAATATTTTGAGTCGACTCAAAATACATCTGTAAGTGGGCAGGAGTGAGATCCCAAGGATCGTCTCAGGAGTGAGATCCCAAGGATCGTGTCATGAGTGGGCAGGAGTGAGGGCTCTTCGCAATCCCAGCCCCTGGCTGTGGGCGTAGGCGCCAGTGCCATGGAATGGAATCTCCAGCGCCAGCATCTGCTTGGCTCGCTGCAGAGCCGTGGCGCTGAAGGGGGGAGAGCCATCGGGGTTCAGTTTTGAGGCGCCTCAAAACTGGAGAGCCATCGGGGTTCAGTTTTGAGGCGCCTCAAAACTGGAGAGCCATCGGGGTTCAGTTTTGAGGCGCCTCAAAACTGGAGAGCCATCGGGGTTTAAGGGGGATTCTTGAGGTGCATGAGCGCGGGATGGTCGCAGAGGGCGAGCACCTGATGGGGTTGAAGATAGGGTGCAGGGGGGAAGATGGGGTTGAAGGCATGAGAGGACTGGAGTGAGGTTTCCTCGCAACCCCCTCCGCCATGAGCTGTCGGCACAGCAGCACACCCTGAGTTTACGCGCCTGTGGCACACAAGGGACGAGTCTCCCCCGGGCGCTTCTCCCGGTGACGCGAGTGCATCTCCCACAGACGCTTCTCCTCTCGCGGACCCTCCTCTCACGGACGCTTCACACGCAGTCATCAGGCAGCAGTCCGACGTCTGTGGGACGCTACCGTTTTACCCTCTCCTCCCTCCGCGTCCCATGTCCAGACAACCCCTCCACACTCACCTGTCCAGTTGAACTGCCTGGGTGGGAAATTGGGAATCCGCAAATTGGGAATCCGCCTGGGCGGTCAATTCACACTCACCAGACGATGCTCCGACTGAACCTGCGAAGATGGCATGGCAGCTTCCCGCCCTCTCAAGAGGCCATGGCCTAGCAAGCACGGTACAAGGCTGTGACTCACTTCTCTGTAAAAGGTTATGGGTGGCTGTCCGAGAGCTTGGGGGTTGCCAATGTTGCAGTAGATGATCTGGGGGAAACACGAGATTTGCAGAAAACAAAAGTGTTTGAAGGTTGAAAATAGCATGAGCAGTGCCGAAGAGATGCCACCCAATCCAGCTGCAGCGCAAGTGAGGGAAAGCAGGGCTCACCAAATGGCAGAAGGTCCAGCTCCAAAGGCGAGAGATTACCGCATTGAATCGCATCTCACCTCATCAAATGGCAGTGACCCCGGCTTCACGGTTAGCTGAGACTCGAGTGCCAGCGCTCTTGCGACTATCTCCCCGCGAACTGCGTACTCGCACTCCCGCACCTTGCAGGGGAGAAGGGCAGCGAAGAAAACGCTAGACGGGTAAACGGTTTAGGGCAGCGAAGGGAAAAGGACGTTGGAAAACGGTTGGTTTGTTTTCTTTCTTTCTTTTCTTTTTTTTTCAGAAAAATACGACAGCACATGGTTTATTCTACGCAAGAGCACTGACGAGCTTATGGTTAAAAGCAGGAGTATACCCGCGGGTTTATTGTATCGAGGGTAAGCGGGGGAGCACGAGGAGCAAGCAGGCTCGCCAGGCTGCTGCTGCTGTAGAACCGTCTTCCTGACACGTCAGCGCGCGACCTCGCCACGTCAGATGGAACATTGGTCACGTCAGCGTCCCTCCTGCCGTGAATTTGACTGGAATCTCGAACGGCGGAGCTCCCAAGCGCGGGACTCCAAGCTCGTCGTAGTCCCGCTGTCAGTCCCGCTCGCACGACCCTTTCCGCCCGTGACGACCGAAAGAGCAGACCCATTATTGCTATTGTCGAGGGCTTACTTGCCAGCGGCTCTAGAACGTCTTCCTACTACGGAAAACCGAGTCGGGAGCTCGAGCTCCCAAGTCGCTAGAAACCGGGACAAACCGGAAGCCTCGGCTCCTCGGAAGTCTTATAGCCAGGGACCCAAGTTTACCAACTGTAAAACAGTTGGTTGGGACTAAAACTACTGATTGCCCGGCGAGCTGTAGGCACCAGTGAAATCGCCTGCGAGTGTTGCAATTCCCGCACCCTCACGACACAAAACCTGGTTTTTCCCAACTAACTGTAAAACACGCCCTAAGTTCTAGAAACTTGGGTCCCTGGCTTTATGGAAGAAGCTTTATTCTGGCTGAGTGGAGTGGGATGGGAAAGGCAGAATTCGTACAGTAACTGTCTCCTGGCTGGATTCCGCGTCATTATGGGATCACATTACGTCACCCTTGAAGCACATTGCATGGTCGCTCGGCGAAATTCTGTTCTGCAGATGGGGGAGAGATTGGGGGGAAGTTTGGCTGGTAGGTGTGATATGGTATGGTATGGTGTGGTGTGGTGTGGTGTGGTCACGGGGAGGAAACTCGCCGAGGCAGGAGGAATCTCACTAATCAGTAGGCCAAATTTAGAGAATGGTACAGAACTCAGCGAAAACAGTCGATTCTACCTAAAACGCGTAAATAAAATTGTGCCCAAGGAGTGGGCCCTCGGGAATCTCACTATAATCAGTTCCTACTCAAATGAAATTGTGCTCGAAAAGAGGGAGGAGTGTCAGAATAGTTGCTCCGTTTCAACACGGCACGTTGAAGCATGTCAGTGGCTTCTTCCTAACTTACTAATCTGGACTGATCTGGTCTGGATCCCTTTTGCCTGTCACTCATTTCGTTCATGTAGTCTCCGTTAGCCCCCGTTAGCGTCCGTCAGCTACCGTTGGCCTCCGTCATATTCCTCGTGACTAGCCTTCAGGCATGGCTCTTCGTGACCAAGACCATTGTAGTTTTCAGTAGTCAGTCTGCGAATTGTTCAGCGAAGTACACAGTAAATTTTCCTCGTCGACGATTATTCGGTAATCTGAAGCGAGGCGACCGGGGATCATGCTACAATGACCCTCTATCAGCGGCGATTAGCTAGCGAGCCACGAGCTGCATCGGGTTCTTTACTGGGTAAAGCACCACGAGTAAGAGGGTGCTGAATCTCCGCCAGTAGTCCAAAGCAAGGCGACCAATCTTGTCTAACAACGGTCAGCGAGCCACGATGTGCATCCGCTTCTTCACTGGCTGATTCGTTGCCGTTAGTAGTTCAAAGCGAGGCGACCAAGATCAACGATCAGCGTCAGCATCGGCATCAGCTAGCGAGCCACGATGTGCATCGGCTTCTGCACAGGCTGCTGCGGTGCTTTCGCCGGCACGGCCCTGGGTCACTGCCTCTGCTCCTGCTGCGCCATCGCCCCCTCGCGCGTTGCCGCGAAGTTCTTATATGGAGGGATGTTCCTGGCCTCCGTTGTTGTCGCGTGGGTCGTGAGAGACTACGCCACCGCTGCACTGTACAATCTCTACAGTGAGTGCGATCCCCACAATGTTCCCCTGCTCCCCCTCCTCCCCATGCTCCCCCTGCTCCCCATGCTCCCCATGCTCCCCCTGCTCCCCATGCTCCCCCTGCTCCCCATGCTCCCCCTGCTCCCCATGCTCCCCCTGCTCCCCATGCTCCCCCTGCTCCCCATGCTTCCTCCTGCTCCCCCTGTTCTGAGAGACTACGCCACCGCTGCACTGTGCTATCTCTACGGTGAGTTTCATCCGTACAGTGATTGGAGCCACTGACCATATGGCATGGCAATTGCCTCGCTCCATCCTTCACCGTGTGCCCCCCACGTGCCTCCACCTCACCACGAATCCCTCTATCCTCAGCCTCCTACCCTCCTTTCGTCCCCTCCCCTTTCTCCTCCCGCCTCCCCCTGGCTCTGATGGTTCCTTTCTCCTTCCCCTCCCCAATCCTTCTCTTCCTCCAGGCTTCCAGTCGTGTGCGCCTGACAACCTTGACCCCGCCTGCGTGGGCACGCTGGCAGTGCTGCGGATGAGCTGTCAAAGTGCCTAAAGCCACGTCCCCTTGTCAAACCCTCCCCTCTCTGCTCGTCCTGCCCTTCCTGCTCCTCCCAGGCTTCCAGTCCTGTGCGCCTGACAACCCCGCGTGCGTGGGCGCCCTGGCAGTGCTGCGGATGAGCTTCGGCCTCTGCCTCTTCTTCGCGCTCATGCTGCTCACCACTGCCGGTGCCAAGCACGAGGGCGGGTGCAGAGACCTTTGGCACTCGGGATGGTGGCCGCCCAAGCTGCTGCTGTGGCTGCTGCTGCTTTTTGTTCCGTTCGTCCTGCCCTACCGTGAGTACTCTTGCTGGCAGCGGCCGCTGCCAAGCACGAGGGCGGCTGCAGAGGCCTCTGGCACTCGGGATGGTGGCCGCCCAAGCTGCTGCTCTGGCTGCTGCTGCTCTTCCTTCCCTTCCTCGTGCCCTATCGTGAGCACTCGTGCTCGTAGACCTCACGCTGCTGGCAGCAGCCGGCGCAAAGCATGAGGGCGGATGCCAGGACCACTTGCACTCCGGCTGGTGGTCTCTGAAGCTCCCTCTCTGGCTGCTGCTGCTCTTCCTTCCCTTCCTCCCCCCCTACCGTTCCTTTCCTGCGTCTGTGCTGTTATGAGCTGGATTCCTTCGTTCATGCTCAGTGCTTCATCCATCAGTCCGTTTTCCTCCGACTTCTCCTGGTCCGTTTTCTGTGTACCAGAGGTGTTTCAGGTGTATGGCGAGGTGGCGATAGCAGGGGCAGCGGTGTTCCTGGTGATTCAGCTGGTGAGCATCATCAACTTCATCTATGTGTGGAACGACGCGTGGCTCAACAATGAAAGAATGTGAGAACCGTCAATGCTTTTGGCTCCTTCCCCTTAGACCTTTTCTTTCTTCCTTCCCAGTACTCTTTGGTGCCTCAAGCTCCAACTGTGCATTGTGCAATGCATGTGTGCACTAATATGTGCCCCCTCCTGCATCCATGTGTGCAGGCATGTGTGGATGGCAGTGGTATCTGTCGTCTGCTACCTGCTCTTCCTCGCCGGCATCATCCTCATGTACATCTTCTTCGCGCCCGCCTCCTCCTGCTCCCTCAACATCTTCTTCATCACCTTCCTCCTCGTCCTTGTGGTGGTTCTCACCGCAATATCCGTGCATCCCAAGGTGGGTAGTGCTCATACTCACGTGACTCAACTTAAACCGCAGTTTCAAACAGCGCTCTTTTTCTCATCGCCGCCTTGTCGTCCATTTCATTGCTCGTACCACTATATCCGTGCATCCCAAGGTGTTCTTGCATGGTGGTTTGTACCCTGATGCTGGGTTGATGAGCCAATTTCTTGTGAAAAGTCATACCCTTTGATGCCACTTGCATCCATGTGTGCGCATGAAGGTGGATGCAGGGCCTCTCACCACCGGCGTCATGGCGGTGTATTTTGCATTCCTGTGCTGGTCCTCAATCATGAGCGAGCCGCCCTCTGAGGTCTGCAACACACGTCCTCGTCAGACAGGATACGGCGGGTGGCTCGATATTATGGTGAGATAGTTCCTGCTTTTATCACAACTGTTGCACAACACTCCATCTTCGGCTGTTTGGCGTACAGCTAACGAGTGTCTTACTGGTACGTGCTGCATCCAACTCTACATTCTACCCTCTCGCCTACTTGCACCTCAGGCTTTCATAGTGGCTCTCTTCAGCATCGCAATATCTGTCTATGCCACTGGGATTGACTCCCGTTGCTTCTCGCTCCGGCCCTGCTCCCAAGACGAGGACATGGCTGGTAACGGAGAGGTTCCCTACGGTTACGGCTTCTTCCATCTTGTGTTTCTCACGGGTTCAATGTACATGGCTATGCTACTACTAGGGTGGAATATGAACCAAACTCCGGTAGAGTGGAGCATCGATGCTGGTTGGGTTAGCACCTGGGTCAAGATGGGTCTGTTATGGGTATCTGCTCTGGTTTACCTTTGGACACTAGTTGCTCCATTTGTCTTGAGAGGTAGAGATTTCGCATAGTGGTCACTGTTTCACCATCAACTTGGTATCTGGCCATTGCAAGCGATGACAAAAGCCCGGGAAGGAACGCTGTTTTCCTTCTAGCAACCAGGTCATAGTGGGCAGAACGCTGAGTCAGCTGGTGGGGATGTGCGTGCGACTCTATGCCCTCATCGTGGTCTTTACATGCACCAATATGTTGTCAAACATATTTGTACATGTTATAGGCTAGATAGGTGCATGCTCTTAGAGGGTACATCACTTCAACAAAATCAGCCTGTATGCCTCATTCTAGTCATCTTTTACTCTGGGATGGTATTATGCGCTAGGTTAGGTCCTCCCCGCTCTCGTCCTAGCCCTAGCCGCCCCTTAGCGCCCTGTCGGCCCCGTGCGCCCTACCGGCCCCTTTAGCCCCGTAGGCCCGTTAGCGCCCCGTCGGCCTTGTGCGCCCTCACGGCCCATCGCGCCTTCTCGGCCCCGTTAGCGCCCCGTCGGCCACGTTTGCCCCTCTAGCCCTGCTCGCCCCGCCGTCCCGTTAGTGCCCTTCCGGCCCGTTAGTGCCCTCCCGGCCCCGTTCGAGCCCCGTTGGCCCTGTTAGCGCCTCCCGGCCCCGTTAGTGCCCCGCCGGCCCCTTAGCGCCCCGCCGGCCCGCTTGTGCCCTCCCGGCCCCGTTAGCGCCCCGTTGGCCTCGTGCGCCCCTCTGGCCCTGCTCGCCCCACCGGCCCCGTCAGCGCCCCACCGGCCCTCGCCAGCCAGCCGCCCAGCCAGTCAGCTCCAGCCTAGCCGGCCCCCGCTTCGGCGGCCAGCCACCGGGCCGTCGAGTCCCAGAGCCGACCCACCGTCTCTGGCTCCCTTCAGTGCCGGCTCCCCTGCCGGCTGCCTCCACTGCTCTCCACCGCTCTCCACCGCACTTCACCGCACTCCACCGCACTCCACCGCACTCCACTACTCTTCATCGCACTCCACCACTCCCCATTGCCTCCTCCCTCTGTCCTCTTCGCTTTGTCAGCGGCCGTCAGCAGCTGCAGCAGTCGCGATGGCGGAGTCACAGCTCCGTCTGGATGCAGAGGGTCGGGCGCTCGACTTTGAGGCGTGGCTGGTCGACCTTCGACGTCACCTTACAGGTCAGCGCCAGGACGGTCACTCCCTGGCTGTGCATATCGATGGCCTGCTTCCCCGCCCCCCTGCGCCTGCTCCCCTCCCTGATGCCCCCACCACTGTTGAGCGTGAGGCCTTTTCCGTTGCTGCGCTGGATCCTGCCGTCTGGGACTCGCGCGACGCTGTCGCCCAGCTTGCTATCAGCCGTGCGCTCCTGTAGTCTGAGTGTCATCGCTTTACCACTGTAGCGAATGCCCAGGCCTTCCTAGATGCTGTCATTGCGCGCTATTCTATCCCAACCACTGCCTCTGCTAGTCGCCTGATCCTTCCCATGCTGTTCCCAGATCTTGCGTCATTTCCCTCTGTCGCTGACTTTGTCACGCACCTCCGCGCGCTTGAGACGAGCTACCGCGCTGCTAGCACTGAGGCACAGCTCGTTGCCTTCCCGCCACCGTTCTGCGCTACCCTTTATCTTATCGCTACGCGCCTCCCTGGCCGCCTTGCCACAGCCCGCGACCACTTCCTTAGTCAGCACCCGGGTGACCTCACTCTCACCGCCTTTGTTACAGCCCTGTCTGCGATAGAGAACCGCCAGCGCAGTATCGCTCAGTCTAGCGGTACTACGGCGGTACCTATCTTTCAGGGCTATGTTCCCTCCCAGTGCACTTACTCTGACGTCTCTGCTACTGTTACTGCGAGCGCTGCTGCGGCCTCAGCGCAGAAGCGTCCGGGTAAGGTTCGCCGTCCCAAAGGGGGCGTGGTAGGGGGAAGGGGGGTGGAGGTGGGGAGGGTGGCGGCGGTGAGGGCGGGGACAGTGGTTCAGACGAGGGGACCGGGGTTGGCGCAGCCGTGGGGACCCCCGCCGCCGTGGTGGACTGGCGGCACTAGCGGCGGTGGTCGTGGGAGGGGCGGGCGCAGCTCGGTGTCGGGTGGCAGCTCAAGCGCGGTCACCTGCCGGTACTAGCTTCAGACCGACCCTCATCGCGGCACTGGCTGCCTCCGGCCCGGCCACACCGCCGACCGCTGCTACCGCCGTCTGGACGACCTGTTCCGCCACAGCTTCGGTCCTGCGGCGGACCCTCCGGGCTGGTACGCCCTGGCTCGTCGTCGTGTGCTGGTTTTTGAGCTTGACATGGATCAGATTAAGGTTGCTATGTCTGTCATGTATGCTGATGACTCTTGTGCGATTGGACCCTATTACCCGGTGTTGCCTAGCGTAGGTGTGTCCACTGTGTGTAGTCTAGGCTCCCCTACTGCGTCAAGCATAAGACCGTCTGCCTTGTTTAGCCTAGCTTCCACACCAGCCTCTCCGCCAGCTGCCACTAGTGCTTCGCTCTCCTTTACGCTTGACTCTGGTGCGTCTACCTGCTTCTTCCGCGACCACACTTCCCTTACGCCGCTTGCCGCCCCTGCCGCCGTCGCACTTGCAGACCCCTCCTCAAGTCCGGTAGTTGCACGTACAGTAGCTCCACCACCCTTCCCTGCTCGGCGGCCCCTTCGGGCACTCTTACAGGCCTGAACATCCCTTCGTTCTCTAGGAACCTAATTGGTGTCGGCTGTCTTCAGGACCTCGGCATCACCGCTACGTTCCCCGGACACAAGCGGTAGCAGTCTGCACCGAGGCCGCCACTAGTGCTCCCCTGACCACGTTCCCCCGGGACCATGTATCTGGCCTGTTTACGCTTGACACTGCGTCCCCCCGGTGAGGGCGTCCCCCAGGTAGCCGCGGCTTGCTTGTGTCGGTCACTCACTCACCCGTCGCTGCTGTGGCACCACCACCTAGGTCACCCTGTACTCCCGCGTCTACGTTATATGTCCCAACACGGTCTTCTCCTAGGTCTCCATGCGTTGCTCCCTTCCCTCCCTCCCTCGCCTGCGCCGTCGTGCACGCCCTACGTCGAGGGCCAGCTGTGCCGTGCTCCTCACTCCTCGCTTCGCTCTGCCACCGCGCCACTCTAGACTCTACACCTGGACGTCTGGGGTCCAGCTTACGTCCTAAGGCCGCGTCAAGAGCGCTACTTTCTGGTGCGTGTTGATGACTATACGCGCTACACCACGGTGTTTCCTCTGGAGCGGAAGGCCGACGTGCCTGACGTTCTTATCCCGTGGGTCGTAGCTGCTCGAGTCCGCCGAGGTCTCCTTGTGCTGTGTCCACACTCCTCCGTGGCGGCGAGTTTGCCTCCGGTTGGCTTGGCCGGTTCTGTCGTGCGGAGGGCATCACCCAGTCGTACACCCTGCCGGACTCCCCACAGCAGAATAAGGTCGCTTAGCGACGCATCGGCTTAGTCATGGAGGTGGCTCGTACCTCCTTGATCCATGCCGGTGCACCCCGTTTTCTGTGGCCGTTCGCTGTTCACTACGCCGCTCACTAGCTGAACCTGTGGCCCCACTCCCAGCGGCCACAGGTTTCACCGACCCTCCTCTGGACCGGGTCTCCTGGTGACGCGTCTGCGTTCCACGTCTCGGAATGCCTCGCTCACGTTCGTGTCTCTGGCACGGACAAGCTCACCGCCCGCATTGTCCCCTGTGTCTTCCTTGGTTTCCCCATTGACTCGTCTGACTGGCACTTTGACCACCCGCCGTCTCACCGCTTCCTTCACTCGCGTGACGTCACTTTCGACGAGTCTGTCTCGTTTTACCATCTCTTTCCCCACCGAGGTCTCCCGGTTTCCCCACCCCTGTTTCTGGTTCCCACTCCCCCGGTAGCCCTGCTCCCCTCCCTCCCCGTCTTGCTCCGTCTGGTGTGTCTCATGTCACTCCCTCCCGTCGGTTGTCCCGGTCGAGGAGCCGGCTGACTCTGGTGGCCCCGCGGCACAATTCTCGCCGCCTGCCTCTCCCCCCGTGTCTCCTCCCTTGTCGTCGCAGTCGCCGCCGCAGCCTTCGTCGCAGCCGCAGCAGCAGCCACAGCCGCCGCCGTAGCAGCAGCCATCGTCGCAGCAGCAGCAGCCGTTCGTGGACTCTGGGGGTGCTGGCTTTGAGGAGGGTGCTAGTCGTGGGTTCCTGTCGTGGCTTGTCCCGGCGAGCTCGGAGGTAGCACCGGTGCTGGAGAGGGTTCTCGCTCTGGGGTGCTCGTTCTGGGGGTGCTGGAGTGGAGTGTTCTGGAGGTATCCGTGGTGCCGCTGGCAGTCCAAGTGTCGGCGTTGAGCAGAAGCAGCAGCAGTGGTCGCTAGTTTCCGCCCTTTGCCTGCTCGGCCTTCCCTCCCCTGATCGCTCGCCTGCGCCTCCCCCGCCACCTCCTCCCCTTCCTGTTCACGGCCATGTGTTTCCGCCGCCGGACTCGTCCACGGCCCGTTTTCCACCTCGTTCCCCTCTTCTGTCTCCTCCTCTGTCTCCTGACTTGACGCCTCCGTCTCACGTCTGGTCACGCCGTCCCTCTCGTGCTCGTCATGTCTCTCCTGTTCAGCGTTCTCACCCCGTATTGCTTCGTTCCCACGTGTCTCGTCCTCCCCTCCTGCCTTACATCGACGCAGTTCCCTCACCTATGGTGAACATAGTCGATGGCCGGTGGCTCTTCAAGGTGAAGCGCCCTTCTGGAGAGCCGCTTGTCTTCAAGGCGCGCTACATGGTTAGAGGCTTCAGTCAGCGCGAGGAGGTGGAATTCTTTCAGACCTTCGCCCCCGACCCCGAAGATTAATACTTTTCGGGTGCTGCTATACATAGCTGCACAGCATGACTACGAGCTCCACTCCCTCGACTTCTCCACTGATTTTCTTCAGGGCAGCCTACATAAAGCAAGTCTACCTGCGCCGTCCACATGGCTTCACCCGGTACCTTCCCTATTGGGACCTAGTGGCTCCTCCGGCGCCTGGTCTACGGCCTGCGACAGGCACCCCGTGAGTGGCACGACACGCTTCGTGCGACGCTAGCTGACCTGCAGTTCTTTCCGTCCTCTGCAGACCCCTCGCTCTTCGCTCGTGCTTACCAGACGTCATTCTACATCCTTGTCTACGTAGACGACCTGGTCTTCGCTACTGCTGACAGAGACGCACTAGCCTCCGTGAAGGTAGAGCTGCTGAAGAGACACACCTGCACTGATTTAGGAGAGCTGTGCCGCTACCTTAGCTTGCAGATCTTTAGGGACATAGCAGCGTGCACCATCACTCTCACACAGTCACACTTGGTGCGCCAGGTGCTTCAGAGGTTCGGTCTTCAGTTCTCCTCCGCACAGCCCACACCTCTGCCAGTAGACCACAGGCTCTCAGCTCTCGCGTCTGTTGCTCAGTCGAGCTGCGAGGTTGAGATCTACGCTGGTGCCATGGCGGCACAGGAGCTCCGCTGGCTGACCTTCTTGCTTTGCCGACTTAGGTGAGCGGCCTAGCTCTGCCCCGGTTTTGTACGCTGACAACAGGGTCATGATCCTCCTGTTTTAGGAGCCTCGACTTAAAAGCAGAGCGAAGCACATCCAGCTGCGGTACTTCCTCCCGCGCGAGCTTCAGCATCGTCGCCAGGCCCGCGTAGTACACTTGGCCTCCGGTGCCAACACAGCTTATATCTTTACTAAGGTGCTTCCGCCTAGAGATCATCAGCGGCACTGCGTGCAGTTAGGTTTAGTCCCTGTTGAATCTCACTTGCTAAGCCCTTGATTGTGTACTCCTTTCTATTTATGCCTTCCAGACTGGCCTTGTGGCTTTTCCTCGAGTGGTTGGACTAGTAGTGCCGCCCTGGTTTGCTCTGTCTTGCGTGTACTCTTGCTGACTGGTATTCGGGCCCCTGCATCAGAGGTTGGACTAGTAGTGCCACTATGAGCTGCGTGTTTCTTGCTCAGCATACCCCTTATCTAGCCTAGGGGGGCGGGGAAGGGAGGGTGGGGGGGGGCGAATCTTCAGCGAGGCACCATGGCTGGCGGCGACGCTTACTGCGTGAGAGGGCGTGTCTTCAGCGAGGCACCATGGCTGGCGCAATGCTTACTGGCGTGGGGGCGTTACGAACTGGCGCCTAGGTTAGGGCGCTGGCCGCAGCTGACAGGGCGCTGGCGTGGCCAAAACCGCCACGGCAGCACGACGGCACGGCGACCCCAGCGGCGCGGCGGCACCGTGGCACGGCGGCATGGCGGGACGGCGACACGGCGGCACTGAGGCACGACGATGTGACGGGTACGGTGCGGAGTGATGGGGCCGGCGCGGCGTGACGGGGTTGGCGCGGAGGGACGGGGCCAGCACTGCGTGTCTGGGCCAGCGCGGCGTGACGGGGCTAGCGCCGCGTTTATGGGGCCAGCGCGGAGTGACGGGGCCAGCGCGGAGGGACGGTGCCGGCGCGGCGTGACGGGGCCGGCGCGGCATGACGGGGCCAGCGCGGAGTGACGGGGCCAGCGCGGCATGACGGGGCCAGCGCGGCATGACGGGGGGGGGGGGGGGGGGATGGAGTATGCTGCGGAAGCGTGAGGAGAAGGCCCGAGCGAAAAGGGCCTGCTCTGATACCATGTTAAACTAAGGTAGCTAGGAGTAGGAGAAGGCCATTGAATGGCGTGAGGTTTAGGAAGGAGAAAGTTGAGGAGAGAAAAGAGGGAGAGACTAGGAAAAGAGAGGCATACAAGGAGGGAGTTGTACCATCTACAGTAGAGTTCGACAAACCTACCAAGCCTACCAATAATATAATAAAATATATAATTTAACAGCTAAGAAGGGTCCAAAGATCGTGCATGTTGTCCTTGCTGTAGTTGTGTCGAATAGAGTGACTTCTATCATGTAGCGTGAAAGAAATACGGTACGTGGACGTTTATTTATTTGAACGGATGCTTGCTAGTGCTTGGTGTCGTGAAGGTAGGATAGCTAGGACGCCATGACTATGGCGGCGGGTTTAGCTAGGAGGAAGGCGAGGAGAATGTCGAGAGAAAAGGTCAATCAACTAGAAGAGAAACAGGTACAAGAAGGGGAGTTATCCCCTCTACAGTAGGATGCAGTAGCACAACTACCAAGCCTATAATTATATAAAAATATAATTTAAACACACCCCCTAGGCTTGGTAGTGGCAAGCCCACTCAACCCACACACACACCCCTAACCCCGGACCCCCTCATTCTCGTGAGCAGCCAGGTATCGACCCTCATACTAGGCGATGACACCCCCGGACGAGAGGCAGCTGGCCGCATCTGGGCGGCCTCAATGACGACAGCGGCAGAGCTCGTGCTCAAGGCGGCTGCGGTGATGAGACAGGCGGCGACTGCGGCGGCTGAGGGCTCTCGGCGGTGTGGCACGACCTGGCGATGACCGAGCCGAAGACAGCAGCTGCGGCAGGAGGGAGAGGGGACGCAAGGAGAAGGGGTGGTGTAGAGGAGAGGGCGTTGGCTGGCGTGTGGGCGGCAGCAGCGTCACCGACGTCGCACGGTCGGCTGCAGCCCGACGGCGCCGTCAACGAGCGGCGTCGATGCTGCACGACGTGACGTCGATGCGGGTATGACGTCGACGCCGCGACGCCAGTACGGCGGCGCTGTCACGCGACGGCCCGACGTCGACGGCGTCGCCACCATGAGGCCACCGCGGCATCTCAGAGAAGGTGCCACGGCAGCAGGCAATCTGAAGGTTGCGAAGGCGGCGAAGTAACAGAGAATTCGCAGCGGAAGAGTAGTGAGCAGGCCCGGAACGGGCGGCCTGCTCTAATACCATGTCGTAAAGGTAGGATAGCTAGGACGCCATGACTATGGCGGTGGGGTTTAGCTAGGAGGAAGGCGAGGAAAATGTCGAGAGAAAATGTCAATCAACTAGAAGAGAAACAGGTACAAGAAGGGGAGTTATCCCCTCTACAGTAGGATGCAGTAGCACAACTACCAAGCCTATAATTATGTAAAATATAATTTGAACACTTGGAACCAGGATGAGTAAAACGAAGCTACACAACAACAAAGCAGGAGACCAGACGGACAAGCAGAAATTACAACATGAGGATGGGAGCATGATAAACATGGTTATAAATTATATATTTAATATCATAAACAGCAGTGAAAGAGCAATTCAAACCTTCCTGCTGAAAGGCAAACAGCAGGCACGCTGCCAGCAAGCATCATTGGCAGAGTTGTGTATAGGGCGCATGTGGTACAGTGCGCCTCCCTCCCTCCCACAGGTTACATCAGCATGCTGCTGTCAATGCTAGTCAGTCGCACTGTCAGTAATAAATACAAACCATTTGCTGTGCCAGTATTTCATCTCCCAGCAGCGCCTCTTGCTCCTGTACGGCAGCATACAACACTCAATTCAATTCCCTTCAACTGTGGTAAATGCTCGTGGCAGTCTCATGGCAGCATGTGCATTGGCCTCTTTGGCCCTCTCCACACTCCACTCCAGAAACACCTCAGGCCCACCTCTCCCACCCCATCGTCATCATCCCCTTCCAAAGCCATTGTCAACTCCGGATTTCCCCCAAGCTCCGGCCTTACCGGCCCGCCATACCATCCTGCCTCCATCATCTTAATCATTCTGCCCGCCTCCTCTCCTCCAGCGTTCTTTGTGCCGTCTCCATGGGCAATCCCAGCTTCCACTAGTCTCAGCTTCTCTGTGTTCTCTGTTATCTCTGTGCCCTTTACACTGTACTCCTCATGCCTGTACTCGTTTCAAGCACCAGCGTGCAGTTCTCCCCTTCCACCACCTCGGCCACAGCATCAGCCACAACACTCCGGATCTCTGCCATCACATTTCTGCGAGGACCCGTCTTATCTTGTAACGGGGCAAACGGTAGCGGGTCCTCCCCTTTCGCCTTGGCAATTCTCATCTTGAGCCGCAAAGCGGCGCCCTCCATGCCAGACCGATTCACTTCGCGCTTCTGGAGGTTCAAGTAGTTCCTGAGAACCCTCTTTGAAAACTCTAACCCGCTACCGTCCTTCACACGCTCGAGTGGCGGCTGCTCGCTTACTCCCCCCTGCTGGTCCTGCTCCTGCTGCTGCTGCTGCTGCTGCTGCTGCTGCTGCTGCTGCAGCTGATTCTGCTCCGCTTGCTTCTGCCAGGGGCTCTGAAGCCGCAGTAGCAAGGCAGCGCGGACCAGTCCATTCAACCCCGAACCAACAGCAAGAGCTCCCGCAGTGCCGGCAATTGCGAATCCGAGCCCGATCAATGGCAGCGATTGCTGCACCTCACCCCCTCTACCAGGAACAAACGCCTGTGTCACCGACGCCACAACACCTTGTCTTGTGTTGTCTGTTCCTGCGGGTTTACCCCCGGGCCTTTGCTCCATCCATGGAGGTGCACGGTCCGACCCAGATGCTTTCTTGCGGCGAAGAAGTTTGCAAACCCATTCAGGTCGTTGGAGAAACGGTGCTTCTCGCACTCGGCCGCAGAAGACGCGACAGCGGCAGCAGAAGAAGCATGGGAGTGAGCATCAGGCGCGTCGGCAGCATCAGCAGAAGCATTCGTAGAAGGTTCTGCGACAGCAGCAGCGGCAGCAGCAGCAGGAGGAGCAGATGTTGCCAACAGAGAAGGCGAGAACCCCTCACAAGTAGCAGGGGTTGAAGAGACAGTGACACGATTAGCAGGACTGGCAGTGACAGCACCAGAGGAATGCTTCAACCATCCCCTCACACTCATCGCCGTTCCCCTGCCAGTGGGAGCTGCCCGGCAGCTAGTGAGGCACACGCCTGCAGGAGCAGCGACAGGCGCAGTTGCTGCAGGAACGGCGCTAGCTCCGCTGGAGCCACTGCTGCTACGGCTGGTGATGGTGGTGTGGTGGTGGTGGTGCTGGTGGCGCTGGTGGTGGTGGTTGTTCCGTCGGCGGCGCTACCGCTGCTGTCCGTGCACACGCGCACGCACTCTTCAGAGCCGGTGGGAAAGCTGGACTGCCTGGAGTTGGATCCGTGGTTCTCGCGAATGTGGAGAGACACGAATTGGGAGCGCCCTGACGACGCCTGCGCCTGCGCCTGCGACTCTGGCTGCGACTCTGAAGATGCGGCGGAAGGTGAGGCGAATGGAGCATTCTTCGCTTCCTGCGTATGCGACTCTGGCTGCAAATTCTGCTGCGACAGAGCCTTCCGCTCTTTTCGTGCCGAAGACGGCAGATACAGCACCTCGCCGATGCGAATGCTCGGCGATGATTTACTGTTCGCCGCGAGAAGCGTGTCCACAGGAATGGAGTAGTCGGATGCGATGGAGAAGACGGTTTCCCCGGCGGACACGGAGTGGATTCGCACTGAAACCGTTACCTTTCCGCCATGAGATAAACTGCTGCTCTTCCTGAAGCTGCTGTTATCGAGAATCCCATTATTGAACGCTTCATTGTCGAAGTCATTCTCGTGTTTATGAACGGTCGGACCGCGTACTGCTCTGCCGTGGTCTTGACCACTAACAGTGAAGTGCTGATGCTCCTGGGGAACGCAGATAAGGAAAGAAGAGAAACAACTTCAGTAAAGAGTTTTGCAGCGAAGAATAGACAGACCAGATTCGTAATAATGCCAGAGAGGAAAAGATGGACGTATGGTCGGTATCTACGTCAGATTGACGCTTGTAGAATGGAAAGAGCGTTCACAAGAACGCCACGTTACATAATCCTGCAGTGTGAACATATTAGTAGACTTCTGGTGTAAAAAGCTGCAAGGAGCACAATCAATGTGGAAAGGTAAGGAGCAAATTTGTCTGCAACTTTAACCTTTTGCGAAATAGAGCTTCGAGTTGCTGAAGAGGAATTCGCACGACATTGAGACTTTCCGCGATTGTTTCGCAAGCGTAGAAGGCTGTGTCGTGGCGAATCCAAGAAAGGCGCTTCGGACAGAAGCCGAAAGCCTCCTTGCGAGGGAACGCGAATAGGGGACATCATGGTAAAGAGCTACTACGATATTGTCAACATTGGCCAGCGACAGGGATGAAGTATAGCGCACATCGGAAGAGCGAGTCCGCTGAAGAGACCGAAATAAATGCCTGAATAACTTCTGCAGGTTCCAGAAACAACCAGCGGATCAGATGGTAAATGTCAGGGAAATGTGAAATCTGGTGAAGATTGGAAGGAGCGGATGAGGGGACGAAGACCCAGTTCGGTATGCTCTAGGACCCTCTTGCTGGAACAGCTGGTGGGGGGTTTGGGGGAGAATGTGTGTGGTGGTGGGTGGTGGATGATTTGGTTCGGTAGGGGGAAAGCTCTGCTCGCGAGGGGAAGTGGGGGAAGTGAGGGGAAATGCGCAGCTCAACGCGGTGAGAGGCGCTGGGTGAAAGCGGGCGCGGGGAATTCGCGGGGGATGAAGCTGTGTGATTTGATGAGTGGCTGTAACGCGCCCATTGGCTCTCAGATCCGAGGGGATGGAGGGAAATGTGGGGGAGGCGGAGTCTTGCGCCCAAGTATCAGGCTCGGAATGCAACCACACCCAAAGTTTCTCGGGAATCGCTTGTTTCCTGGTTTGGCATTCTGACCTGGTTTGGCCCTCAGCCCCGGTCTGGTTTGGCCCCTACGAGTTCGATGACTGAACCTGACCTGACTCCTGACCCGTGTTTCTGAGTTTCTGACGTACTATTTTCACGGGCTGTATCTTCTCGATACATTTGAAACTATCTGAAGGTGCAGAAAACGGGCAATTACTTCTCCATCATGCGTATAACCTGTTCGGAAACCAGCTCATTACGTGAGTTGTTTGTTCCCCAATACACTCTGTTTTCGGGGCGTCGGATGAAAATAAACACTTGTTCCAAACTGCAGGGTTTAGGCTCGACATCACTGTACTTCCAGCCAAACCGAGGATGCAACGCAAAGCTTCGACACAGGGAAAACCGCGACAATCTCCCCCAAATGCCCATGGACCAGGCGCCACCATCCCCCCCCCCCCTTCTTCCTGTTCCCCCTTTCCCAAGCTGAACTTGACAGATTCACGTCAGCAGCATGACTCTCTTGCACTAGAGAGACGCAACCACATCGGCAGATTCACCTGCGACCTCATCCCTCCAAGCTGGCAGATTCATGTGTGACCCGTGCGTGTTGCGTCAGTTACCACTCGGAACGAGATAGATTGTTCGTAGACGATGGAGACGAAGACGTTGCAGCTGCTGGATAGCGCCGACGCCGTCGTGCGGCTGCGCCACGTGCTCGCCACGCAGCTGCAGCACGGCTGGATGGACCTCGCCGCCGCCCGTTACAGTCACGCGTCGTCGCCTCTGGGTGACGGTGGGCTGATGCATCTCGTAGGGTGTGCGACGTCGCACCGGGCGTCGCCAGGCGACTCAAATCGAGCGAGCGAAGATGGCGAGGAAAAGGGAGAAGATCCTCGGCTTGTCAGGGTATGCGTTTCAGGAGGAGGAATCGGGAATGACGACGACAGGCGCGAAGGACAGCATGAGGGGAATGCGATCGAAAAAGAGTGCTCCAGGTGTCCATATTTTCAAATTCGCTGGCCTTGCGCGGTTCCTTGTAAGGATTGCACGAGCAGCAGCAGTGGCGGCGCCAGCATCAGCAGCGGCTGCATCGGTTGCTGGATCCGCCAAGAGAGCTCGTCTGCTCTTCCAGAGGCAGATGTTGATCGTCTGAATCTAACCAGCGAAAGCCTTCAAGATTCCGGTCACCCAGAAGCGAGATCTGCGGGTGTGAGCTACGGTAAGCCATTGCCCCTAGCGGGGTTGGCGCATCCGTCACTGCGATCAGCGCAGAGCAAATTCGCCCGCGCTCTCGCTGTGGCTGTGGAAGTGGCTTCCTTGCAGCAACAGGTGGCTTCTCTTGAGAGACAGGTTCAGTCAGGCATGCACGCTGTGAAGTGTGCCGCAGCGGAAGGGTGAGGTAGCGGAGGAGTGAGGAGAGGAGATGTACTTAAAAGCGCCCGCGCACTGGCTGTGGCTGTGGAAGTGGCTTTCTTGCAGCAACAGGTGGCCTCCCTCGAGAGACAGGTTCAGTCAGGCATGCAATCTGTGATGTGTGAGGCAGCGGAGGAGTGAGGAGAGCGTGAGAAGGGAATCGACATGGGAAGTGGATTGCAGAGAAAGACAATGTTGAGAATGGAAGGTGGGAGTGAGGAGATGGAATGGTGATTTTTGGAGGCAACTGGTGGCGAGGATGTGATGTGGGTGTGGGAGGTGAGCTTCAATTGATGGTTGCTTTGTCTCAATGTGGCACTGTGATCTATTGAGATAATGTTAGCTGACGGGATATGCACACCTGCGTGTACATACGACTTTGAATCTCTTCTATCATGACTTATATCGTGATA